TGATAATTGCTTAAAATTACAAACAAAATTTGAATTTTTCAATTGTACAAAACTGAAAATGCTAAAATTTTTAGACATGCCGAATAACGTACTTCTGGTGGTAACTGATAGAAAAATGGACCTTTACTTTTCTCAGTTCCAATTTTTGCACGAAGGGCCTGTCAGTTGTCAAAAATAGAAATACTCGATGCTTTCCAGTCTATGTTCAAATTTTATGCGGTTTTTATAATCAACATGTAGAAATTGGAAGTAATTTTTCTATTACTATGAATAATTCACCACAAAGGAGTATTGCATTGTAGAGGAGATAGTAATTAATTAGTGTTGCCGAGTTTTTCAAAGTGCTTATAAGATAACTACGAATGGTGTTAGCGTTTGGAAGAAGTTATTCAAATTCGGAGTCAAATGGTGTTCAAAGAAAAAAAATAGTTATGAAAAACTTGCAGATTTCTGAGGACCGTACATGCATCAATGCATGAAATCCTGACAAACTCCTACACAAAGATGGTCACAAGTGCTCGTAAACTTTTGTTAAATTAATGTATCTTTGATTATTTCCGGTGTCAGCATGAGTGCTTTTGCGCTCATTCTCTCGGCTGAATAATTTTTGTGTTTATGAGGTGTTTGGTCGCTACAATTTGTCTGACTAACGAAATATAACTTTTTAATAATTACCTTAATAACATAATCAAAATTCAGACATGTAAAAATAAGTAAAGGTCATTTATTTTTTGTAGAGGTTTGAATCGTCCGACAAAAGTTTTAGTCCATGGAAAGTGTCTGACACTTATGATACTATTTTAGAATAATATTCTACCAAACATATATGAAAATCAGCCTTATAAATGCANAACGTATCTATCAGCGGAGAGGAGGAGCTAGAAAACGTTGGTCTCTGCAAGTGTGAAGTTGATAATCTTGGCGGTATGAATGCGTGTAAAATTGTTTGAATACGAAAAAAATGAAGTATTTCGAAGAAAAAGAAAGTGTTGTTCATATTTTATGTTTTTACTGTCTCAAAAACGTATATTTTTTTGCTTTTAACACATGCTAACAATTTTAATTTTTTGATATTTTTAAATGTTCCAAAGCTTACGTATTCAAAAACACTTTATTGTGAGATTTTCACTAAACCGTTTTACAAAAACGCAACACGTGTTTCGCCATACAATGGCTTCTTCGGACATGTGTTTACTGTAAAGTCTTTACAGTAATTAAATTCAAAAGAATTTCAAAACACAGTTTCCGTGTTGTGGGTATGAAACACTTATTTATTCGCGTTAGACATAATCCACAGTCAGTTGTTGTTGAAAGTTTACGTTGTCAGTTGTTGTTGACAGTTAATTTGTGGATTATTTGCTGGCCTTCGTGAGAATTCGTTTATAATGTGAGACTACAGTCTTCATGGGATTGAAACATTGCACAAACAATTACTCATACAAAGCTCATACATAATAATCTGGTACATTATGTATCAGTTCTACTTCTCCATATTTATACAAGAAAATCTGAAAGGAAGATAGGAAAAAGAAAGGTTTGGCTAACACAGGAATGTTTTTTATGAAATTTGATTTCATTATTCGATATAGTTGCCTTCGAGAACGATACAACGACTTTTCGATACCATTCTTATAATACGATTTGTCTTCAGCCTCAAAATAGGTCTCAGTTTCTATGATTACCTTTTCATTGCCGCTCAATTATTTTTTAGACCGGTGGATGCGGATTTGTGACACGTTGCATTGTCTTGATGAAACAGCACTTTCTCTTTATTCAAATGGGGCCGTTATTCCGCCATAGTTGCTGTTGATGGTTTTCCCTTTTCAAGATAGTCGATAAATAACTATACCATACGCATCTGAAAATGCTGATACCATAACCTTACGAGTCGGTTCACCACGTGCAGTCCACTCAGATGATAATCGTTTTGATTCTGGTGTGAAATGATGGAGCCATGTTTCATCCATTGTCACATCGACGCATAAATTCGGGTTTTATAGGGTGGAATAGCTTCAAACACTGAATGAATTTTAGAAGAAATATTTTTTTATTATTTATTTAAAGTATGTAAATTAAAAAAACATTTTTAACAATTGGGAATAAATTAACTTTTTTTCAGATTGGCAAAAAAAGTTACCAACTATTTGTTAATAAACAATTTGTTGAAGTGACAAGTGAAGTGACAAAATTACTACCGCAATTTCCTACTGTCATTTTACTCTCATTTCATTCATTATATATCACTCATTATCTAGAGTGTTTTCCGTCGAATCTCCTTCTTTTTGAATAAATAGATACAAATACATTCAAACTGATATTTTTTTAAACACAACCACGATTCAAAAGTCGGCTAGTTAGAAGATAAATCCAACCAATTTCTAACAATAAGTTATATGTATATCGATTCTTTTCTAGATGACAATGCTTCTACGGAAAAATATTATATGACAGGTGAAAACACTGACAACCAGGAATGAACAAGAATTTATCCATCAATCAAAGTGAAAAGCGTTTGGAGTGACACGCGTGGTTCTGAAATATGGAATCGAAATTGGATTCTATATGATATAAAGGGTCATCCATATCCATCATCGGCGCAAGACAAAGAACATATTCCCAACAGCAGGAAATTGAAAAACATTTCAAATTTCCGCTTTGAACAGTTTGTCGGTTTAATGTGTCTATAATTGATATACGAAGACCAAAATTGTCCTTCTATAGAAAGGCGATTGGAGGTTTCCTTCAAAAAAGCATTAAAGTGAAATAATGAAATGCTACCCGTATCGACGCAATGGATGAAATGAGCGATTTCGATACCCATCTGAGAATACTCAGTTCAATTCTCAAGATACAGTGAAATGTTTTAGAAAGCTCAATTTCGAATCAATTGGGAATACACACTTTTTTCTTTCAGTTTGTATCTGAAAGTGACTTCTAAGCATGATGTACACATTTTTGTAATTTATTTTTAATAAAAATTATCAGACAGACTGAAAAGTTCGTAGGCTAACACACAGATGGCGCTACTAGTATCAAATACATATAATTTTCAGTTAACCCTAACCTTCAAAAGACACGTGAACAAATGTCACAGCTGTCGGACTATGAGTTTGCGAAATACAACATTTTAAATGAAGCAACTTTTGTTAGTTTGAAAAAAATGGATAAAAAGTAATTTCGTGTGTTAAAGCATTGCTTTTTGTCGAAAAAAAAAAGCTATTGAAACCAAGGCTTGGCTTGATAAACGTTATTCTGACTTTGCACCAGGAAAATCAACCGTTGAGAAGTGGTTTGCTAAGTTTGAACGAGGTGAAATGAGCAGCGAGGAGGATGCACAAAGTGGACTCCCCAAAGAGTCAACAATTGACAGCGTAAACTATGGATTATCTCTAATCCAAATAAGTAACTGTTTAAACCCACAACATAACTTTCACACGGAAACTGTTTTTTTGTATTTTATGAATTCAATTACTCGAGATTCATAAACGACTTTTGAAGTAGCTCGGTAATCGATGATAGGGTATGAATAAAAGTTT